TCAAAAGAGAAAGAAATGGTTTTATTGACGTGAGATGGTCCACGCATTGTACCATGAAAAGTTTTGTACCTTCACAGGCCTTATGTGTGGGAGTAAAAAGTTTTGAAACCAACTCTATCTTATGCAGTGCAAGCAAGTATAAACCTGTTAAAGTTTGTCAACTTTATCATTAGGTTAAGAGATAGCCAGACCTCTTAATAATATTTTTTAATTTCTAAAAATTGCGGTTTGAATTTAGAAATATTTGTTAATCATTGAAATTAGATTTGTTATATCTCACAAATGTCAGGGGCATAAAAAATAGAGATATGTGTAATCATCAGGTAATTTTAATGATGCTTTCACATGCAGTATTGAGGAATTTCTTGATCAGATTGATGATGATGAGTCTGTCAGGACGCAGCTCCAGTCATTTTCTTTTTATACCCAGGGCAAATAGAGTGGAAGGCATACTGTATAATATGCATTAGACAATAACAATACAACGCTATAGTAAACTTGAAAATAGTCTTTATTCCAGTGGATCATTGATTAAAAGTGTCTACTATGATTAATGAGTTGCCGTAGGTGCATGACACTCGCATTTCCCTCTTCCTCAGACTAAGCAATGCTTCAAAGTGAAAATTCAAAATCAAAGGACCAAAGCTGGAAGATTATGTTTTTCTGTTAAAAGGTTTTATTGGAAAAATAAAATCACAGTGGAGAAGAAGTGATTATTACAGATGTGGAATGCCTGGGTTTATTGATTAATAGAATTATAGTAGCAGCAAAGTGAATATAATTTATATATATATTTGATGGGGCAGATATTTTGGATTTAGATCGGGAAAACATTCAAGAGTTTAGTTATCTTGCAGACAAAAGAATCAGTTGTTACATGTTTGCTGATGTTGAGCAGAGATCATTTTTTGATAATTTGTTTGATGATTGCAGATGCTTGAAAACAGTGGAATATTAACTTAGAGGCAGGCACTCACTAGGGATATTTAGACGTCTGCATCAGGCGTCACAGTTGCAGAAAAACAGGTCAATTTTCACTGTGGAAACTAGATTCAATTAGTGCTTCAATAAAATGAAAACAAATTGGAAGTGACTGAAGTGGCTGTGGAAATAATCAGTTATCTCATATTGCTAAAATGTATAATACATCCTTAGTTATTCTTGGGAATGACACGCTGCTGCCTTTTAGGTTTGGGTTTGTCATTTCATTGAAATTTGGGTAACCTTAAGACACTATATATTATCCAAAAGCTGAGTGAGTTACGAAAAGGTCATGAGCTTGATTTGAACCCACAAAATAATACATGTGTGGCATTTTCCTCGGTCTGCTGTTGAGCTCCTTCATTTGTTTCTGTCTTTGGGCCTAAACCATTGGAACCAGTCAATTCTCCGGCTTTGTCCTTTTCATGAATCTTTGGCAGAGTAATGACTCTGTGAAGGTTTGGCTTGTGCTATTATAGATCAATTTTTCCTTTCATTAAAAAAGACGTTTAATTTGGAGATGGGATGAGGGAAAAAAACTGCAGCTGGAATAAGCGTAGGAATAAAAGCACCACTGTGTAAGTGGTTTTAATCTGGTCCAGACTGTATGACTTGGCCCAAAAGGGGGGTGCCTGTCCGAATTAATAACTGAGGTGTAATACAGGATCACGAAGCCAGAGTAACAGGGAGGTGCACACTGCTGCATTGGTTTCCATCGCTGAAGGCAAAGGCTCAAGTCCAGACTTGTTTTTGTAAGAATCTCTTCTTTAAATATCTCACAGGTTTCTACCTCACTGAGCGTCTAATTTTTACATGTTGCTTGAATTGGGCTGTGATTGTTGTCATTTCAATATTTATGAAGATGTATGATTTGAATATCATGAACAGGAGAGGTAAAAAACTCCCAAAACCAGAACAAAAACCACAGTGCCAAGTTCTACATAACCAAAAGTCATAATATTTTAGATAATTTTCTTAACTTTCTAAAAACAGTGCTCCCTATGTGAGCAGGTTGCATCTTATTCTTTAATGGAGATGAATCATGGATGTTGGCCTCCTGTGCACTTTGACTTTCACTAAGTCCAAGCGTCTGTTATCTCACTCTTTTTTCAGCATTTCTACTTACACATGTAAATGTGATTAAAATATCTGTAATGGTTTGATACACAACAACACGCTGTCTCTCATTTTTTGTTCTTTTCTTTGTCTGTTTTTATCTCTGTGTGTCTTAATGTGTTTTCTTGCTATGCAACCGTCACTCTGAGGTGAAATAAGCCACTGTTTGATTCAGAGTCATTAAACGTTGATTTCAGGGTTTTCCCCCTGATTCCCTCTGTGAATTAGCTTAACTAGAAAGTGAGATATGGTCATTCATATTTCACTGAAAACATAGCATGGTTAAAGTCAGTACTCAGCAAAGGTTTTTTTTCTGACAAAACATGCGTATCTAACTTTAGTAATGATGCTTATTAAAAACCTCCTCTTGGAATATGTTTCTCTTGGAAATGGAAAAGGCCTCATTCACTGTTTATTTAGTTGCACTCTTAAATCAAAAGACGTGGTGTTATTGTTTGCATCTACTTGAAAATCCAGGAAATGGTTTAAGATTTTGAACTGAATTGTTCAGTTTAGTGTCACCTGACTGTACCAAACAGTTGTCAGACAATTTTGATTTGGTAAGGCCAGCTGAAATTAAATGATGGTTTGGATTTGTGCTGTGGATGTTTGAAAACAAATACAGCAACAATATTATTTTGAAAATTGTAAAATGTTTGATTCAGACTAGTCAAAGTTAGACCCAGTCAAAGTTGAACTAATCTATGTTAAGCTGTAGCCAGTAACGATGACTCAAAGACATGGAATGATGCAGTATTGAGTCACAAGAACACATTCTTTTTCAAGGGTTTCTAAAGACTTAGATGCTTAATGCACTTTTAGTCAAAAGTGTTCCCTCACAAATGCCTGTCTAAGATTTTTCAGTGTATTACTTTAACTTGTATGACCAATCATAAGCATAGAAGTGAGACCTATTTGCATATAAATTGGAGAACGCAGTGGTGGGGAAATGTATAATGTTGGAATGTGGAGTAGTGACGTTATGGTAACACAGGATGATTTGAGCTGCATTTTGGAACTGTGTTTGTTTTTTAAACTTTACTGCCATTGCGTTGCATTGTAACTAAAATGAATCCAAAGGGGGAAACTCTGTTTACAAACTCACCAAGCAACATTCTGTATTGTAACTGTGATGTCACCCCATCATTACATTCACTGATGAGGTCCCAACATCATTTAAGTCACATCAGTGAATGACAATGGTAATGAGCCTCTCATCAGTCACACAAACATTTATCCAAACACTGATTGTTGACTCCTGTTGCCAAATTACTGTTACTTTCCGTATGAGAACAAATCACTTCTTTGCTCTGATATGTGGCCTAAAGGCTTTTCTGAATTCTTTGAGCTTAAGGCGCTCTGCACCTAGGTGCAGCATCTAAGTCTTTCTATGGCAGAAAGGCCTGAAGAAGATTACGATACACAAGAAGAAATGAAACAATGAAAGTCAAATGATTCTCATTCTTTCTATATGAGCTGTACGGAGTAAAGCAAACTATTTTACACAACTTTTAGCCTTTGGTCACAAACATTTAGATTTTGTGAATAGTTAGATTTAATAAATGGTATGTCAGAAAATATAAATCAGCACAAATTATTGCTAGTTGTGTCGTGACGTCTGATGCAGATATCTCAAACTCTATTCAGATTAATTCCTGCATGATTTGAAAAATATTTTTACACAATATTTGTGTGATCTGACCCTTGAAAGAAACAATTTTTATTGGCGTTAATTGTTAAAATCTTTAGGTGAAATCTATTACATGTATAACCATCAAAGTGACAAGTCTTGTCATTGGTTACAGCTAAATGTCAAGTTAAACATCTATACAATATTCTGATGATTCTGTGAGACTAAAGGAGGAGATTCCACATGAGCAAGCAGCAGCCACATACTTTCTTTTCA